ACAATTTTCACTTAATAGGCGGCTGCGATTTCATTAGTAAAATTATGAGTAATTCCGGCCTAATTTTTTGATCGTCGTTCTTAGCCAATCAGAATCAAGGATCATCCGCGCATTTTTTGTGCGGCACCTAGGTTTAATATTTGCCACACCGATGATCGTGATGTTTGATTGGTCCATGATTCGCGAATGTTATCTACATAATAGCCAATCATGCTCAGAGATTTTGTCATGTGATTATCGAAATTCTGTTCCGAACCTGAAACTGGATCCCTCAAAGACTACAGGTAAGACCGTCCCAAATATGGAAAATGCTTACACAAATGTTGGATGATTGTCACATGTTAAGAGAGCTTCCAGATATTAGGTAGATATAGTTCCCCCAGAGTTAGTCATTTGACACAATAGTTTGACAATTACAAATTTGATTACTTTAGAACTTGTAATTGTCAAACCAGTGTTAAAAATTCATTGTGCATGTATTGTTATTTGCACAAAATTAACAATACACTGTGCAAATATACAAAAAATAAAATAACATTCATGTATAAAAAAATTTTCTTGCACAAAATGTTTGTGCTGAATTTTCAACACTGTGTCAAACAATTGATTATTTTAGAACTTGTAATTGTCAAATGATTGTGTCAAATGACTGACTCTAGGGAAGCTATATTTATATAATAAGTGGAAGTTCCCTAAGATCGTCTTTTTGTTTATTCATAAATTCATGTAATAATTGATGAGTAAACATTTACAATTTAAATATAAATACCATAGTTTTCTACACCTATCAATAATCAGATCTACAAATATATCTTTTTGCTAGTAAAATTCAAAAAATATATAAGTCAGAATTAGCATGTTATAAAAATAGTCAGATAAAGGAAAGATCAAACATTTGTCCATACTTAATAGCAAACAATTTTACCTTATTAAAGATATTTCAAGATTGTTTGGAGACTATAAGCAACCCAAACAAAAGAAAAAGGTCTGTTACTTATGAGTTAGCTCAGACAAGCAAAAAGAGGATCTTGAATAACAATATGAACAATGATACTCAGATCATGAATTTGTATCAGATGTTGGATCAGGATTTAATTTCAAGAAAAAAGATTTTTTATCTCTTCTAGACCAATACATTAAAAAAGTTATCGAGGAAGTTGTAATTACTAAAAAGGATCAATTATATAGATTTGTCAATAAGCCCATTGAATAAATTTTTTGTAAATATTAAATCAAATTTGTGGTTCTCAGTTTAAATATGGAATCACAAAATACTAATCACAGAAAACTGGCTGAAGATTTTTTATTAATTGTTATTATGTTCATAGCCTAACATAATGGTCTGCAAGCTGCATCTTACAAAAAAACAACAAGAAAAGAAACAAACAACGAAGATGGAAAAACAACAAAAAAATGAATATTTAAAGATGTACAAAATTCGTTTGTATCCTAATAAAAAACAGCAAGTGATCTTGAAGAGATAGATGGGCACGTCCAGATAAACCTACAATCAGGGTTTGAGGATTTACAAGTCAGGAGTAAAGGATCTAAAATCAGTGCGCAAGCTTGTAATAAACAAGAAAAATTTCAAAAACAACAAGTGTTGGGTATTGGAAACTCTGTTATCAATTCATGACAATATTTTTTTGGAATTTAAAAAAAATCTCAAAACTGAATTAAAAAAGAAACAAAAATTTGTAATGAGATTTAAATCAAAGAAACATTGTAAGCAAGATCAGATTCGAATAAATGCAAGAGATTATAATTATAAAAAAAAACAATTTTTTTTTTTAAAAGAGATCAAGAAAAGTGAATTGATTGATATGAAAAATGAAAATGAGATCATTATATCAAGAGATAAGCTAAACATGTATTATTTGTATATACCAATATCTCTTTCCATAAAAAATAAAAAAGAAGAAGAAATAATTAGTCTAAATTCTAGTGTTAGATCATTTATAACAAGATATAATTCTAGTGAGAATATTGTAGAGTTTTGTAATAATAATTTCTCTAAATTATCAAGACTCTGTATTCGTCATGATAAATATCAAAGTTAATTAACCAAGGTAAATGCAAAAAAACATTACATTATTAAAGAAAGATGCAACAAATTTATTACAAGATATATAATTTGATAAATGATTGTTATAAAAAAATAACAAGATATCTATGTGATAACTACTAAACAATCGTTTTACTGATTTTCGAAATCTAAAAAATAGTAAGACAAGCAAAATGAAAAATCAGAATGAAAACTACATATAATATGTTAATATGAGGTTATTTTTAATTTCGGCAATTCTTATTATACAAAATAAGCGAATATCCTAATAAAAAATTGATAATTTGTACCAAGGAATACACCTTCAAGACATGTGAATAATGTGGATATGTTAAGAACAATTTAGATAGAAACAAGAAATTTAAATATGATGAATATAAGCTAATCATTGACAGAGATGTGAATAGGATGAGAAACATCTTGCTTAAGATATTAAGTCAGGTTATATCTGATGTCATGGCCTACTACCTTTGAGCTTTGTTCGGAGCTCATTGTATAATTAATCATCTGTTAACTCTTGTTATCAAATGTTTAATTTTTTGTAGAAAAAGATTAAAAGTCTGCATATGTATATATATACATATATATATTGGGGTAGTCAGTCAACTAATTAAATCAAACCTATATGTAAACTCTATAGTGTTCACCATAGCACAGATTTTTAAGTAATTTTAGATTACATGAAATGATATTACTTTTTAATATTAAATTATTAAACAAAAGTAAAAAATTTTAAAATTTAACTCTTCCTACTAAATTAATTCTTTGAAACAAAAAATATAATAAACCAAACCAGAAAGATATATACTTTAATTTATCATGTGGATTTTTGTGATAACATATAGAACATTGTATTTTTTTTCTTAATAATTTGTAGACACTATTAGATTTATAAAAGTTAGTTTGCAAATAATCTGAAATTTATTTTTTGTGAATATTGTTTTTAAATTTGGCATGAAAGTTTAAATTATTGGTTATAATCTATCGCTTAATTTATTTATTTTGATCAATAAATTAATAAATTAAAAAGTAGATAGCAAAATTATACAGAGAAAGATATTAAAAAATATTAAAAATCGTAATTTGTCAATAAATATTCAGAAATTTACAGATAAAAAGAAGTAATTTGTAGTCTTATAATAAGACCTGCGATGTTATCTTTTTTTTAGTAAAAATTTTGCATATTTGCCAAAGAGTTGCAATACAAAAAAGAAATATAACAAATATTTTCAAATGCTGCACTACTAACAATAGGCAAGATTCTTATTGCATTCTAATTTTGTAATTGCACTACAACTAATTTGGTAAATTTAGTGATTTATTACCAAAGCAAAATTACTGAAGTTCTTTTGGTCAAGTTTATTAAATTTGAATATTATTGTTATATATTAAAGTAGTTAAAAGATATTTATTAAAGTGAAATTACTAGAGTTCTTTTGGTCAAGTTTAGCAAATTTGGATATTGTTGTCATATATTAAAGTAGTTAAAATATTCAAAGTAGAAATTAAAATCATATAATTGTATACATTTCATTTTCAATCAGTTCAATTTAATGCATTTTGAATCATTTTTTTTGATTAGTTAATGTTTAATTGTATGCATTGCAAATGTTATAACTAATTTATTGATTTAATTATTATAAAGATTAGTAAATTGTCTTTTTTTTTTTTGATTAGTAAGTTTAATGCTTTGTATATATTCGGATATTGTACCAAAAAAATAAAAATTTTTTAACACTTAATTGGTATTTTTAAAATAATTATTAAATCTTTATAAAAGAAGCAAATACAAATGTTAAAAGTATTTTTTTGTTTATCATAATGCCAAAACTTTTTAAAAAATATCGACAAATGATATAACTAATTGCCAATCATGAAAAAACAAAAAAAATTAAAAAAGTAATAGATTTTTTTATATATCTTGATGGTGAAAATTTTAATACAACAAGAAATTTCTACCAATGCTGAAGATAATCTTATTAAGCTTATTTAAAGCTTAAATGATAAAGAAATAAAAAACGTAATTACATTGTTAGAAAAAATAAAGGAAAAATTGTATCACTATATTTACAAAAACAATTGGTTAAAGTAATTTCTAATTCTCTTTATCAGCCACAATCAAGTTATGTTGTATTACAAAAGGAATATAGTCAGCTTTAATTACAAAATAAAAAATTAGTCAAACAAAATCAAATTCTAACTACAAAAACCAAATCACTTAAATCACAAAATCAGCACTTTAGACAAAAAATATCTCATCACATATCCACAATATGTTCTTTAATATCTAGATCTAAAAAAAATTCATCAGATAATTTTAAAAAACAAATTAAAGAACTTTTTAAATCAAATAATCAGTATTACTCTTCTGATATGATTTGGCTTACAACCAAATTAGCACAAGTTGGCTGAGTTTCAATATGTTTAACTATTGAGTATACCAAATTGATTTATAAATTTTTGACAGACAAATTACCAAGGAGTTGGTTTTCAAGAGAACAAGTTACAACTTGGCATAAACAAGAAAAATTTCAAAAACAACAAGTGTTGGGTATTGGAAACTCTGTTATCAATTCATGACAATATTTTTTT